AACTCCTGACCTCAAGTGATCTGCCCGCCTCAGCCTCCCAAAGTGCTGGGATTACAAGTGTGAGCCACCGTACCTGGCTCACAGGTGTTTTGTACAAACAGATAAGCAATGGGAATTACTGTCAATGACCATATTATCTCTTACTCTGAATATGGCAACTAACAAGTCACAGTACTTCAGTGAGATCGCATGGCCAGGGCTTGCTGGGCCTGCCAAATTGGCACAGCCTGTGCAACTGGGTTATTAACTCAGATCTGACTAGACGAGGATTTGGGACACTTCCCTCTTGTAAACTAGGAGATGAAATAACAGACTGACCTGTAGACTTTCATGCAGCTGTAGGGCTTCCTGGGCTCCCACCCAGTTGTTGGCTAGCAGCAGCTCTTGGGCACATCTGAGCGCCAGGGAAGCAGACAACTCATCCTCTCCTATGATGGCAGCCAACTCTGCAGCCGTTCTAAGTGATGCTGCATCCCCCTTTTTGGCCAAAACTTTGGCTGCATCATAAGCACAAGTGGCCCCTAAATAGCTATAATATGAATAAAAATGTGAAGAAAAGGTCATAAACAGATCTTTTAATCCCATTCCTAGAGGATAGAATCATTTCTTTCTATCCACTTTGCTGCATGTGCCTTCCTGTGGTCCCAGGTATGTCACTGCCCCGGTTGTTCCTGTGAAGGCTGAGGCCAGCACAATTCAGCGGAGCGTATGAGAAACAATATCATCTAGGTTGAGGACATAAGGAAAATGAGTGGGAATGACTCCTCTGTTTGGGTTCAATCCAGCATGGGTTGAGGTTCCTTTACTTGATGTTATAAGAGACCATTAGAAAAATGCATAATTTCTGAATCTGCTACTGAGCTTTTTCTTGAATAGTTATAGTGATTTACATAAATAAATCAGGAGGTAGTTCCTGATGAGTCTTATGAAACTAAGTTGAATATACGTATCTTTTAAACAATTTCTCGCTGCTTTACCTCCACCTCTAAACTTATTACTTGTGTTCCTGTCCTCCCCTTTCTGGCAGAAGCTCTTCTACGTTGGATGCATCCCTCCACTCCTCAGGCTTACCATTTGGCTGCGACAGCATAATGGCCATCTCTTTCTAGGACGGTTCCCCAGCTGAGGTACAAGTCCTTCAGGACTGGGTCCTCTGGGCGCAGCCGGGCCTTGGCAATTGCAATAGCTTCCCTAAAGGCAAGAATAGACACTTTAGCCAATCTGAAAAGGCTCCTCTGTGTATGGCCCTAGGAGGGGCTGTAAGACAGGACAAATTGTCCCTTTTGCATTGTCTTATTGTTTCAACTTCCTTTAAAAAACTGCACTTGCATTATATAGACAAATTACAAACACACGCTTCATTCGTTTCTTCACTTAGATCAGCAGTTCTTAAATTTGTGGTCTGTGGATTCCTAGGGGGTCCTCAAGAACCTTTCAGAGGGTTCATGAGGTTATAACTATTTTTGTAACAATGCTAAGAGTCAGTTATGTATTGTTTATTAAAAAAAAAAAAACTGTGTTGACATTTGCACTGATTGTGCAAAAGTAATGGTTGGTAAATTCTGGCATCTAAGAAAGAAGGCAGTGGCTCTTATAGTGGGAAAAAAGGGAGAATGCCCTTAATGAAGCAGTAAAAATGATGAATTTTACTAAATCCCTCAAGTCCAAAACACTTTAATATATTGTGTGTGACAAATGGGAAGAACATTTTGTGTTCTCTGCTGCATTCCAAAGTAGGATGGTTGTCTCTAGGAAACACCTGTATGAACAAATTACAAGCTAAACTGGCTGCTTTTTTCACAGAACCTGCTTTCTTCTAAAAAAAAAAAAAGACTAACCACTTCATTAAAAACAACCAACAGTATTTGTTACTAATGATAAAATGTGAGTTTTCTAGCAAAAATTAGAATTTTAGAAAACTTGTACGTACCACTTGTGTGCTTGACAGTTTCCCATAAGTTAGAATTTTCTGATGAGAGTGACGGTGATAGTAAGGAATGTGACATTTTTGGGTATTTTATAATAAGATATGTTAACATTTGGATCTGTACAACTCAGTAAACAAATATTTTTCAAATGACATACAACTGCTGAGTTGTAGCCGACATAAAGTTGTAGCTGGGGAAAAAAGTGTTTTATTAAAGTGATCTAAACAGAGCAATATTTTGAAAGTATTTTGGGACTTCTACTTCCAGCTATGATGGAATAACTGGGATCAGACCTACCTTCCTGCCATAAAACTAAAGTACTGGACAAAATGTCTGAAACAACTGTTTTCAGACACTGGGTAACAGGCAGCACAGGACAGTAACCCCTAAGAGAACAGAAACAAACGATGGGAACCCTATCTGGGCACTGGCTTTCTGCCCAAAGCCATTTTCCTAAGGAAAACCTAAGCAAAACCTCAGCAGTCTCTGAGTTGAGAAGAGGAAACAACGGCAATCTGAGGGGCAGGATACTAGGAAGGAGGAAGTTGTCCAGAGAAAGACATCCACCATATTGAGTCTTTGGCTAAATTCAAAGCCACGTATGTAAAGGAAACTCCGTAAGTCTAAACAAAGAATGACTAGGTAACTGTAAGCTGAACAATTACCAGAGCTTACTCAGGACCTGGAGACATCTGAATTTTGACTTGTTGAATGCATAAGGCATTCAATAAAGATATCAGAATGTAGGAGGTCCAAACTAATTCTAGAATATGATAAACTTGCCCTAACAAAGTTTAAAAACAAGCCACGAAAAGATCAAGCTGATATACAACTTTACTACTTGCCAAAACAAAGTTCAACACTCTCTAAAGGAAGACAACAAAACCAAAGCAGGGTAGGACAAAAAGAAAATCTTGGTTAAGCATGGTGGCTCATGCCTGTAATCCCAGCATTTTGGGAGGCTGGCAGGAGGATCGCTTGAGCCCAGGAGTCGGAAATCAGCTTAGACAACACAGCAAGACTCCGTCTCTACAAAAAACTAAAAAAATAGCTGGAGGTGGTGGCACACACCTCCTGAGTAGTCCCAGTTAGGGGGCTGAGGCAGGAGGACTGTTTCTTCTTTTATGTTACTTTAACAATAGAGAAGTTTAGATTATTTTCACATTATGTCCAAGTATTATCCCAACTCTATGACCACACATACCTGTAAAAATGGTTTGACTTGAGCAGCTCCACAGCTTCATACACTTTGTGGATGGAAAGTAGGTGAGAAGCAGCCTTGACATACTGATCCTGAAAACACAGCTGTTTGGCAAAAGCTTCCACAGCCCATAGCCACACATGGTAGCCAGCTGAAAAAATAAAAGATGGTGGTTAAAAAAAGTTGAAGAGAAAGTAAAAACAAAACCCAGTATATTTGGGTTGAAAAGCCTTTTTTCAGTCGATGCATTCAGCAGAACATTTAGATACCAATTCAGCCACCACTACGGATGATCTGCTTCATCTACACATTCTGAAACATCAATTGTTTGATTATGTAACACAAACAAAACAGTACAAAGTTGAAAAGATACAGAAAGGAATGTGTGAGCACAGTTAGATAAATTCCTATAATTAGAATTGACGAACCAAAGGTTAACATGCTTACGTGCTTTTTTTTTTTTTCTCTTTCCTTTTATTGTTTTTTGAGACAGGGTCTTGCTCTGTGGCACAGGCTGGAGCGCAGTAGCACAATCATGGCTCACTGCAGCCTCAACCTCCCTAGGCTCAGGTGATCCTCCCACCACAGCCTCCCGAGTAGCTGGGACTACAGGTACATGCCACCATGCCCAGATAATTTTTTTATTTTTTGTAGAGATGGGGTTTTGCCATGTTGCCTAGGCTGGTCTCAAACTCCTGGGCTCCAGCGACCTGCCCACCTCGGCCTCCCGAAATGCCGGTATTATAGGCATGAATCACCACACCCACCTTTTTTTTTTCTTTTTTAAAGAGACAAGGTCTCATGATGTTGCCCAGGCTACAGTACAGTGGCTATTCACAGGCACAATTAACAGTGCCCTATAGGTCTGAATGCCTGGCCTTAAGCAATCCTCCTGCCTCAGCCTCCAGAGCGGCTGGGGACTACAGACTTGTGCCATTGTATCTTTAAAATTTACTAGACATGGCCAAATTGTCCTTCAAGAAGTTCTCACCAATTATGCTTTTGCCATTAAAGTGTCAGTGACCTGCTCTTTTTCACAGGGGTTGGGTTGGATTTATGAGTTTGTCTACTGCTGCAAACAGGATTAGCATTGTATCTATTTCTAAGTGATTTCAAGCTTAAGACTGGTACTGCCAAGAGCCATCTTTAGTGGACGTATCCCAGAGATGATAGAGCTTTTACTGAAAAGAACAAACACAAAAACCATACCCGCTGGTGCCATAGCCACAAGGTTGTCTGTCAGCTCCCCTCTTTCCGCTGCGGTTTGGAGAACACCTTTGAGATCTCCTTTCCAAAGCATAAGCTGGTGAAATAACTCAGGGTGGCCATTTTCTAAGTGACCTTTTCCTGTTTGAAAGAGAGATGTTTGGAAGGTGTTTCAGAAACATCTATTACTGACTTGTAGAAAAAGATAAGGCAAGATAGAAGAGAAAGTGAGCTCCTAAAATATGCAGTCATTCTCTGATAGGTGTCACCTACCAGAGTGATTACAAAAGGATGTGAAGCCCACTCGGTCACTGCCCACTCACCCACCTTCACATGTACTCAGAGTGAATGCTGTATGTTTAGGATCCTATGATGATGCAAGGGATGTATCAATATGTAAGTCAGTGAGCTCAAAACCTAGTTAGCTGACAGGTAAAACTAACCATTATAATATCACAGGATGGCAGCCATCAAAGAGGT